ATACAATACCTGGGGCATCACGGGGCAGGTTACAGGCTCACAGGTCAGTGAGGTCACGGATTGAATCCAAAGTCAAAAAGCAGGGGAGAATAAAAAACGGAGAAGTACCAATTTGTTCAATGCACATTTTTTATTTTCGCTGCACACCCATATACATTCAAAAGGTCCATAACTCACATTCTATTCATCAACGCCCGCGCTTAAATTAGCATCAATTCCGAATTAGCACCTACCTAACAGTACTTTCAGCCTATAAATTCAAAAACGGCAGTTAATGATTTGTAATATTGGGCAATACAGATGAGTCAGAGCCACGGATGGGATATACATATATCAAGTTTTCGTGAATCCATGATTGATGATGGAGAAATCAAATCAAGAAATCTTCTATGCACGAAAACTCTACCCACATTTATCACAACCACACATGGAAAACATCTCATCCCGGGAAAATTGTTCCCAATTCACAAGGATAATGTATTGTGGATAGGCGTGACGGAGTGGGAGAAATCAACAATTCCACTTGCAACAGTGAGCGCTGACGTAATTTGATGTGTATTGCTCTGGCTCCACTCTATTCTAATCACTGCGTCCATTCAAGATGGATCCATATCAATACATCCAGAATTCCAGATCTAGCGATGTGATTGATGGTTTTAGCCCAGCGCCATTCCACCGGGAGACGGGAGTAGCTGATATTTGACACACAAATGTACAGTTATGTGACGGCAATCATTTAGATTTAGCCATTTAGGTGGAGGAAGAACATGAGCCAAATAGCCAATTACAACTTGCCAAACAAGTACGACTTTGTTGATTGAATGATAAAATAATAGAATAGATAAAGTTGTAGGGACCGGACGGTCGGACGGGGGACCCAAGTTGAAGTTTGGACACCAAAGACAAAATTCCCCGAAACCCCCATCAACCCTATACCCTTCGTCCTCCTCTTTCTCCGCAACCAAACAAACTATCCCTTTCAAACCCCCAATCCTATTCCTACCACCTATCATTCATAATACTTGGGGCAAATTTCTTAAACTATATCTAAGTTTAAGAAATTGATTAAATTTACCTCTACTATTTCAGTCTTCAAGTATCTTTATTGTTTCTGACAATTGGTTAATTTTTTCTTATTGTTAGTATTCGTTAACAAAATGATTAAAAAGACGATTTTACCCATCATTTAAAAAACTTAAACTCCTGGATCAATGGAAGACATCATCAATGATCTTCAAGCTCCACCGGCAATCCCATTGTCAGCATCGTCAGCAGCCCTATTTTGTTTAAACACTTATCACTATGGCATCATCTCTTGGAAATGAAACCCATAAACCTTAGTTCCTCCTTATCTAGCACCTTTTCACATTTTTCACTTATGCAACAAACATGTAAGTTCCAAGAACCGTCATTGTTATCGCCTATTTGGGTAAGTAATGGACAACTTGAAGAAGCTTAAGCTTGATTTTCGAAGGCTTTCTTTCTCTCTTTCATTTGCTTTTTTTCATCGCTGTCATCAAATGTCCCTTGGTTTACTCCGCTCTTCGGTCCTTCCACCATTTTAGAGATGAGATAGGGAGAAGAAAAAGATCCTTGGTTTGGTCCTTCTTAAAGTACCCTAGTACCCCTACTGTCTTAAAGTCCTCCTCCTCCTTCTTGTTCTTCCTATTCCCATCATTTTTTTTTTGTTTCCCTTGCTTTCTACTCATCGTTATCGAACTAGCAGCAGTGGGAACTCTCCCCATATCTCCACCCTAATCCAATGAGAACCCCATTGTTTTGGTCCAAACAAGACTCGAAGGGTTACCATAAATTGAGGGACTCGGGAAGAAGGGTTTTGGGCGTGTGAGGTGGGTCTTCGGTTCAATAAAGTGGGGTGGTGACGTGTGGCAGCGAAGAGACTAATATTCAAGCAACAACGGTGATGCGAGGCATTGTTGCAACCATTGGAGCGAAATGTTTCATCACCGCCAGCAACAACAGACCCCTCCACCTCCTGTATGTGTACCTTGCTCAGCCCTTCATGGGCCGGGTAGCCCGACGGGATGGCTTGGCCCCTGGACAGGCTTGAACACACATTTGAGCTCTTGGGCTTGACCTCGGGCCTAAAAGACCGAACCCGACTATGTTGTGGGCCGGGTTTGGGATTTGTCAAAAAAGCCCAACCCAACCCAAGCTATAGGTTAAACCAAAAACCTTAGCCCTAAATATCCTAACCCTTCTCTTCTCAGTCATTTCTTTCTCTTAGTCTTAGCCGCCGAACCTCAATTCTCTCTTATTAGTTTTCACAGTCACAACCTCACACTCTCAGGCAGACAAAACTGACGAACACTCACCAGCGCAACCAATGAACTCCGGCAGACCGGTGGTGAGTCCTCTCTCTCTCTCTCTCTCTCTCTCTCTCTCTCTCTTTCTCTCTATCTCTCTCTCTCTCTCTCGTTCCTCTTCTCATTTCTCCTCTCTCAGAATCTCATATGTGAACTCAGGCACCGAGGAGGCGACGAACATAGGCATCGACGGCGGTGGTGGTGAACATTCATCATTTTAAACTCTCAAAACCCTATCCGAGCTTGACTTTCCCCTTCCCTCTCTGTTCATGTCTTCTCAAGTGTTTTCTTCTCTGACAAACATACCAGCAATTTTCACTTCTCATTCTCAGTTCCTTGTTCCCTCTTAATCGTTTTTCTTCTTTGGTGATCTCCAACGAACGTAGGCTAGCAGCTGCAACCCTTCTTTTTCTTGTTATTTTCTTTGGTGAACTTAGGCTAACACCTCAACACGAACTCAACACCGACAAACAGTCACGCAAACTCAGAACTGGTGACCATATGTCTATTAGGTCGGGTTTCAGGATTTTTATTGGGGTCGGGCTTAGGCCCAAGTTATAGGCCCGTTGGTCAGGCCGAGCTCGGGCTCGAACCTAACAAAATCCTGTTTATGAAGAGTAAAAGCCCGATCCGGCCCATGAATAGGTCTACTTGTACACAATTCATCCACCAATGTTCCCTCCTCTTCTTCAATATAATCTCCTTCATCTTCTTATTGAACGTGCCTATAAACCCAGCTAGATCTGATCGATGAGCGATCTCGTGACGTAACCAAAATATCAATGAATGAAACTTGCTGATCCAACTTGCAAAAATAAGCAACAGAAAATTACCCAAGACACAAGCCCTTGAAGCAGGGTGCAATGAGGGACTAGCTAATCTGAAATGAGCTTTGACCTATCTTGACTCTTTTTCACACAACTTTTTCATGTATTGGATATAAGCTGCATACCCCTTATATATGAGGCTCAGTCTCTAACGTTTCCTTGCGCATTTAATGCTAACAGAAACATTATAAAAGAACCGTTGGTTGACTAGGTCAAAGCTCCTCCAGATTGAGACAAATGTCTCATTGATCAAGGATCTTGTCACTTGATCATCCAGTCTACATTAAGCCAAATGGTCCACCATTGACCCAATAGAGCTAGAATGAATCTGGTTAGTATTCCAATAATAATATCTCTATGCAAGAAATACTTGTGTAGAAAACAACCAAAAAGGATTTTATTTTATAGAAAATAGATAAGTAATAATACAAGGAAAAACTTGGTTGTGTGTGTAAGAGATAATTTGTTTTCCATCAACATGTGGCTTGTCATATGTCCTTTGGATTATCGAACATGTTGAGGATTAGTAAGTGAGGGCCTATGGCAACTCTTCCTACAGTTACATATCCGACTAGATTTGGCATAGAAAAGAAAGAAAAAAAACTTATCTAGAGAACAAGATTTCGCATATGCAACATCTGTGGCCATTGCTCAAAGGACTCTCAGCAATGGTCGACTTCACATCTGTAGCATTCGTGGCCAAGCACGTTGTAACTAGGCTTGAATTTTCTAAGCTCCGATGGTTACCGAAACGGGGAAGCCGTAGATTTGACGATGAAGATTTCTGATAAATCTTATTTTTCAAAGAATCTAAGAATATGGGATTGTCAGAAGAAGAGCGGTGGCGATTTCTCTCAGCAGTGGCTGACTTCATCGTCTTCGACATGAAGGGGAATGCAGAGTGGCGACGATTTCTCTCCACCGTTCTCTCTCTCTCTCCTCCAGCTTCCTTCCACTAAGAAAATAACCTCAAATATTATTCAGTTATAGATTTTGCAAAGAAATAAATCATATCTTGGAAGCCTTAGATCCCTCTTCTACTTCAAACCCCCCGTTGCGGTAGTAGAGCAAAAAAAAAAAGAAGAGGATAAGAGACTGGGGGAGAACAAGAGTGAGAAACATTTGAAAAGGTATTTTTGAAAAATTTTGAAAAAAATCGGTCATATGGGATGGAATGTGAGGAAAAGTTGAAGGTTGAGAAGATTTTAAACAATTGTGAGAAACAATAGGTATACTTTTAATATAATACTAAAACAATAGGGGCATATTTAGTCAATTTCTTAAAAAATTTGCCCCAATACTTATTGGCCTACTCCTATTACCTTAGTGCCCAACCATTTTTTTTTGTTATTTTTGTAAGTTCAAAGTTCAAACAAACAAGAGGTAGAATCGGTTTTCTTCGTTTCTGCTCGTGTTCGTAGTAGGAGTTGAGTTTCTTTTCAGTACGAGTGCGTTGGACGGATGATATCGTAAACCTCTTGATGTTTCTGTGAAATTAGTGGTCTAGATTTATGGGAGAAAGGAGTACCGGAAGAAAATCATTTGGAGATAGTAGACCGTCCTAGCCTACTCCAAACTCCAAACTCCACCTATCTCCGGCGGCCAGGTCAGGTCAGTAGGGCACTTTACTTCACTTGGGCCCGTGACTTTTTTAGTTAGGTTTGTCCTTGTCACAAAACAAAACCGATTGTTGGCGATCGGACGGTTGGGGACAACATACTACGCAATGACGAGAATGCCCCTGATTTTGCATAAATAAAGTAGATTATCTGACGTGGCACGTTACGACATGAGACAAGTCACAAGTGGGAGTGTGGGACTGGTGGATTGGCAGCGGCGGTGTTCAGGGCAAGCGGGCGGAATTCAAGGTCAAGGCCTCAACTCTCAAGGGTGAGGATGAATTGTGTGAGACTGAGAGAGAGAGAGTGTGTGCGGCCGTGTGGTGACTGGGGATTGGATGGTATGTATGGGCAAATTCAATTGGGCATTTTGAATTGAAAGTTCAAAAACTGTTTTTGGGGGGCGAAAGTTATGGGGGGGTGGCTAGCTTAGGCTCTAGCTGAGGCCTGAGGATGAGGATGAGGGGGACTACTGATAGCTGATAAGTGGTGAGAAAGAAAAGAACGATATTAATGTTGGCCATTGCGTGTCGCAGTTTCAAAAAAAGGCAAATCGAACCCACACGGAAGCCGGAAGGAGAGGCGATCAGGGGACGGGAATCGGGAACCCCTTTCTTCATTCTTCACTCTTCCTCTACTCTCTCATCTCATTTCTCTGTACTTCCATTCCACTCCGATTCATCAGATCCGAGATTCGTTTCTATGTATTTCCCGGATTTTAAATAACGTAAAATTCGAGGGCTTCTAACCATGGTTTTCTGCGATCCTTCTGAGCTACCTCCACTTACTATCTCCGCGGCTTGCTCTGTTTCCCATGCTTCCATTCTAGGTTCGTTTCCTGCGCTTTTGTTTTTATCCTTGCTTGCTTGAAAATGGAGAGGTTTCAGCACAAGAGATCGCTTGGTAAGGAGAAACCATATCACGGATGTTCGGCCAAGATCAGAAGCTTTTCTGATCAGAATCCTGGCACTTATCTTGTCCTAACGGAGAGGGTTCTCAATCAAGGTTAGACTTTAGGTTCTCGTCTTGTTTTTTCTTTTATAGTACGTAGAGTTCGCCATTTTAGATTTTAGGTTATGCTTTTGATTTTCTTCTAGTGGTGCTGTAGTAGGCCTTACTTCGACATAAAGTTGGGTGCGGACATTGTTGCGGTGGTATTGGTATCATTATGTCTATGTTTTAATGAACTCCTGGTTTATGATGGCATATGATGGCAGTGGTTTGTTTTTACTCTCCTCCCACCCCTACCATCCAAACTTGTTCCTTTTCTGAAATTTAAGCATCGTGTTGCTTCGTTTGTGGATTTACTTTTTCTCGCGATTGATTTCTCCCCGTTACTTTATAGAAGTTAACGTGAAGTTTTTGTGAAAGAGCTGCTCTGGTGTTTATGTTTCTTCCTTCTTTTCATTTTCTTTTTGTTTTACATTTTTTGATTTCATTTCGCCTACTAATTTGTCACCTATTGTAAGTTTCAAGGTGAGAATCACTTAGAAAAAGAAACTATTTAGGAATGTGATTTCCTATGTTAGATTGTTGTAACATATTACCTCCAAAGCATGCTTTTTCCTACTTAGATTATTTCTATCATGCGTAAATTTTGAGCTCAGAAACCCTCTTAACTATTTCATGGTCCTGACTTATTTTTTCTATGATCTATTACTGTAAGTCGTTGATTTTTTTTTTTCTCTTCATTTTCATTTTGCGTATCTTTCTCCTGGGAATTCATCTTGATATCATGGCGTTCTGTTCCCAGGAAATGTACAGAACGAAAAACTGGTAGACACTTTGAAGGTTGCATCTGATTCCAGTTCTTGCAGCAGTGTTCTTTTAGAAGAAGGCCTTGTAAGGAAAATTTCCTTTTTGTACTTGTTGGAGTCCTTTAACTTGGGTATTTTTTTGTTCAAATTTGTTTTCTGAAATATCAAAAATTATTTTGTAGTGGTGTATGTGAATTATGCCTATGTGCTTCTATGATTTCTGCAAAAAATGATTAGCATAACATTTTGCAACTGTATTTTTTTTATTGTGTAGCATGCGCTTGAGCTGAGGTGTAATTCTTTGAAACAAGCTGGTGGAACTCCAATGAAGAAGCTATTGGCCGAAGAATTGTCTAAAGAAGTGGAATCCAGGCGGCGAACTCCAAGTGTTATTGCTAGATTAATGGGCCTTGATGCACTGCCATCTCCACATCCTGTACATAAACAACAGAAAAAGTTCTCACAAACCTATCTTCAGAGAAGGGCATCTATAGGGTCAAATGAGAAGACCCCACCATATGAGGCTCCGTCACTTAGATTGGGTACTAACGACCAGCAAGAATTCAAGGATGTCTTTGAAGTCTTAGAAGCGTCAAAAGTGGCAAAGAAAACTAACCTAATATTTCAGAAGGAGAAAGCACACGTGAAGCAGAGGGATGAAAAAATGGCACTTATACGTGAGAACTTCATGGATGCAAAACGTCTCTCCACTGATGAAAAGCTTCAACACTCAATGGAATTTCAAGATGCATTAGAAGTATTAGATTCCAACAAGGATCTCTTACTGAAATTTCTCCAAGAACCAGATTCTTTGTTCACAAAGCATCTCCATGATTTGCAAAGCGTTCCACCTGCTCAACTGTCTGCTCATGTAACAATCTTAAAGCCATCAAATGCTCCAAAGCATGGAAAAAGTGATCTTTTCCGAAAACCAGAGAAAAAAACTGAACAGAGGAATGCTATTGACTCTCATCACAGGCATGATAAAGTCGATGTTAACTACTGCAACAACAGACATAGTGTTTATAATTCTTACAAGTTATCAAATTCCCGTCATGAAGGAAAGGATGAGACTTGCCTTCTTCCTACACGGATTGTTGTTCTGAAGCCGAATCTGGGAAAGGTACCAAATACAACAGGATCCCTCTCTTCGGCATGTTCTTCTGGAGGTCTGCAACCAAATTACAGGCAGCATAAAGAAGTTCGAGATTATGGGAACTGTGACTTAATTTCAGAAGTTCATGAGCGCAAAAATTCATCGAGTGATGTAGAACATACTAGGCATAGGACCAGGCGATCCATGGAAATTGCTAAAGAAATCACTCGGCAAATGAGGGACAATGTAAGCAACAGCTCCTTAAAGGTACCAAGCTCAGTTCTCAGAGGATATGCTGGAGATGAAAGCCCATATAGCATGTCAGGAAATGACTCAGAAAATGATTCTGAGGTTGTCACACCCACCTCAAGGTATTCTCATCAATGCAAAGAAAGATCTAGCCTGTCCCCATCATCTTCATATTCAACCGAGTCATCCGTGACCAGGGAGGCGAAGAAACGACTTTCAGAGCGGTGGAAGATGACTCGTAGGTTTCAAGAAGTGGGATTAGTTAGTAAGGGCAGTACTTTGGGTGAAATGCTAGCTATGTCTGACAAAGAAACCAGATCAATGACCTTGACTTCTGAGGACTGGTTTAGGAGTGATGGGTTTGCAAGGTGTAACAGTCCTTTGGGAATTAGCAGCAGAGATGGTTGGAAGGATGTGTGTAACAGAAGTCTACCAAGGTCTAGATCTGTTCCCACTTCATCTACTGCCTTTGGAAGTCCATCATTGAGCACCAGAGGTGAATCTATTGGCAATGAGGATGGGTTTTTGATGCTAAGAGATACCGTCAACCAGGAAAGTTACAGGTCAAGAAAGGTAAGTTCCATAAAAAAAGTTAATTCCTTGCCTAGAAACCTCAGATGCAGCAGTAAAAAATCTCAGCATTCTCTTGCGACAAATGGGGAGATGAGTCATGCTATACAAGAAAGTCAGAGCCTGGTTGAACCGAGGAACAACCTTGAAGTAGCAGAGCAAAATCCTATGGCTCCTGGGCCATTGGCCGCTAATATCACAGATAAAAGGCTGGTTGTTGAATGGGTGGCTGTTGCTGACTCTGAGAGTTCATCCATGCCTTCTAATACTGCTGAGGAGATGGAGCAGCTGTCTAAACCATTTAACTGTGTCATATCAGAGAAAGAAGCAGATTTTTCTTCTCATGATCCAAAGGAAACAATTCCAGAGGTTTGTTTACTCTGTTCGATGCCTATCTTTAAACATTTTTCAATGCTTTGTTTTGTATTATATTTTCATTCCTTTGGATGTGATATCGTAAACGATCCTGTTCCAATTCCTGTAAGTCTGGCTTCAATCTTGAGGTGCTTGGTAGATGGAGTTCATCTTATGAACACCCTGAAAAATAAAGAGGACAAAAAGACTTTACAATCATTTTATTGACAAGGTCACTTCCAGAAGTGTAGTATCTATGGTCTCTCTGAGACTTTAGAGGTTGGGGATTTAACCTCTTTATAGCAAATCTTTATACTCCTATGTATTTCTAATTTGTAATCTATTATTTTGTTTTCTTCGTATTCTATTATAATGCATCTTCCAAATCTAATCCTAATTGTTACTCTGAAAAATAAAGGCACCTTTAGTTACATGTAGAATGAAGGTATGGGGATATTGGAGGCTTTATCTAACTCCAACAGTAGAATAT